TTTTGGATGCGATTAATCGTGATTAATCGTTTGACAGCATTAATTACAATTAATGACATTCCACTGATTTAACAAACATCAACTGATTATTACATTTCAGGAGGAATTGAAGACTTCATTGAAAGATTTACAAGAAAAACTCAAGAGCTTTAAAGAAATAAAGCAAACATTTGATGATGCATCACACCACATTAAGGTGAGAACATACAGTACAATATTCTAGATTAAAGCATTTTCAGAAAGATTCAGGTAGAAGGGATGTGAGAATCTTTGTATTTTATACAGGCTCAGACTCAGCAGACCGTGAGATGCTTGCAGGAGGAGTTTGAGCGGCTTCATCAGTTTCTGCGAGATGAAGAGATGATCAGAATATCTGCACTGAAAGAGGACGAGAATCAGAAGAGTCAGATGATGAAGGAGAAGATTGAACAAATAGACAGAGAGATCGAATCTCTTTCAAACAATATTGGAACCTTAAAAAATGATTTAGACGCTGCCGACATGCCCTTTCTACAAGTAAGAAATAACCTGTATTTTTAATGAAATGTTTAGGGATTGAGGGTTGAATAACATTTGTGTACATGTAGCTTATTTCCTCCTTTTGTGTTTTGCAGAACTTCAAGTTCTCAAAAGAAAGGTAAGCTGTTTTCTTGCCGTCTTCTCTCTGCAGTGCAGTTCCTCCATCTTTCTAACTCCTGAATGTTATCACAGAGCCCAGATCACACTGAAGGCTCCAGTGATGCCTGCTGGAGCCTTGATGAATGTGGGAAAATACTTGGGGAACCTGAAGTTTGAAGTCTGGAAGAAGATGATGCAGATAGTTCAACTCAGTGGGTTTTACATTCATCTGTTTCAGTTATGGGACTTTTCATTCACAGTCACAATGAAAATATTTCATAAGTCCAGACAAAGTCTTAATGGCAATACTAGGCTTAAGCTCTATTTAACCATTCTCACTAAATAATGTACTTTTTGCTGCAGAATTTACTGGTTATTTTTATGTGTGCATGTTTTGTTTTGTTTTTTGTCACCATTTGTACGTAAAGTGTCCATTTATGTCAAATGTTAATTGTTTTAAGCATGTAGAAAATTACAGATAATCATCAATTCAGTTAATTTGTAACACCTGCATGGTGTGAACCTGTTCTGGGTTACTCTACTTTAGGTCAGCATTATTTGCAATATTTTATTTGGTGAGTGGGTGATTAGACATGTAATAAATGTGCATTCTTCTAATATTAGAAAATTATTTAACACACAAAAAAAATAATGACATTTAAATACACAGACACACACATTTAAATTGATTTGTACCTTTTATGGGCATTTTTACTTTTATAAAGCCTTT